AATCTCTTTTTCCAAAAATCAACAATCCTAAAAAAAGACCCTTTCCCTCCAAAAAAAAAAAAAACTCTCACACACCTCCCACATCTTCAAATTCTCAATTTCCCAAGCTACAAGGTACCAAAATTTCCCAAAAGAATCAGCCTTCCATCGACCACCGATCCTCAATCACCAGAAATCTCCAAATTCAAACATCTGAAAATTTTCAATTTCCCAAACTCCAAGGTACCAAAATTTCCCAAAAAAATCAGCCTTCCATGGACCATCGATCCTCAATCACCAGAAATACCATTCCCCGACACGACCTCTCCATCAACTCACTTAGCTTCCGGTAAATTAGTCGCCATAACCCTGAACCCATTATGATCCGCCACATAATGTACTTGCTGTAGAACGCCGTTCGGATCGATATAACTATAAGCGCCCCTCGTCGTCCCGTCCAAAGATCTGGACTCGGTTTTCGCGCTCGAATCCCCTGTGTAAGCGTAATCGTACTGCCCCAGAGAGTCTTGAGTGTGATGAAGTGCGCTGTGCAGTAATCTGTACGGCAGAACCGGAAGTACGTAGGGAGCAGGCACTGTAACTGGCCCCTGGATACTTCGCAGCGACACAACCTTGCCTAGTTTCAACGAATTCCCCTGCGGAGGCTGTCCTTCGTTCTTCTCTCGTTCTACAAGTTGATTCGACGAAATTGTACTCGTTTGCGGTGGTATCCTTGAGAGACTCGGGTCTGGTTTAGGCACGTCGATCCTTGCCGCCTCGGACGGAAGAAGGAGGAATGGATTCTTGGTAGAAGGCTGAAAGAAATCGGCGGTTTTAGCGGTTTCTGCGTTTTCTGAGGAGTAACTGGAGGTCTTGACGAGTCTCTCTGAAATTATACACTGTGTCGTTTTTCTTATTTGTTTTTTTATCGATGGTTCGTGTTGTGTCAACTCAAGCAAGGTTGTTAGCGACAGTTTGAAAATTTAGCGTATGAAATTATATTTGGTTCTTTGGATTATACTGGTTTGTTGATTAATTTGGTTTAAATACCCATTTGATAATTTTTCAGCGAATGGTAAATTTGATGGAAAAATCAATTGACTGAGAAGTTATTGAAAATTTAAGAAACTAATGCCAAATTTTGTGAAAAAGTAATAACAATTTTTCAATAAATGTCGAATTTGATGAAAAAATCAAATGATTGAGAAATTATCGGAGATTTGAAAAAGCAATAGCAAATTTTGGTGAAGAAATAATTACAATTTTTCACCAAATAACGAATGTAATGAAAACATCAATTGTTTGAGAGATTACTGAAGATTTAGAACACCAATGCCAAATTTTGGTGAAGAAGTAATAATAATTTTTCACCGAATAACGAATGTAATAAAAAAAATCAAATTATCGAGAAGTTTCTTGAAGATTTAAGAAAGCACATAGACAGCGAAGTGATCGTTTAATTAAACAATTAGTTGCTCAAGTAAATTGAAATCGAGGGTTACATCGAAGCAACGTTTCAAAAATATTTTCACTAGAAAAAATACAAAAGTATCTGATTTTTATTAATCACTA